AAAATGGCAAGTATCCTAAACATCTTAGGTCGAACGTAATATTGAGGAAAAAAATATATATACATAAAAGAAAATCAGGTGGTCGTAGTGCCTACGAAGACTAATACTAGTTCCATTTGAAACTAAAAACAAACGAGTCAATTGTGCGATTTCAATTAACAAAGAAAAGAATAACATTGTAATCATATCGTTGGTTTCTTCCTCTCCACTGCCCCCGTCTCGCCTCACCGATCATTTCACATTCCCCTCGTATTGACCACGTCATTTCCACCCTCACCCCCATAATCGAAATTATCGGTTAAGGTCTCAAGATTGCGAGGATGGAGGATTCCCTCCACATCCTCTCCCTTCCCACCATCCGCAGCGGCCCCTCCCTGTGGTGTCAGATGTACTTGTGCATCACCTTTGCCTGTGCATAACTCCGGTTGCAACTGGTTGTCCGGCATGCTCAGGCCAACACCTGACTCTGACTGCATTTCGGATGTGCCTTCTAATGCGGCGGATGTCAGTAATAAACTCCCGTACGTGGCACCTGCATCTGACGACAATGCATTTGACACATCCATGTGTTTGGACGGTTCTGTCGTGTCGACGGAGATTTGCGGCATAGACGTCATGTGAACCTCTTGAGTCTTTACCACATTACTCCCGTCATCCTCCGTCTGCCCTGCCTGCGTGGGTACGGTGGGCGATGCCGACAAAGGCACGACATCCTGAGAGCTGCTCTCCTCCATGGTTCCGATAGTTTGATTGACCTTCCAGTCGATTGACCCACATGAGGGACTCGTTCGCAGGGCGTGAAATTTCCAACTGTACTCCAACTGCTGATTGTCTCGCAATACAAAAAATAATTCTTTGGCCTTGTCTTTGACAGCGCCCTCGCTCTTCCCCGGATTCTCCTTTTGCACGTGGTACATAATTGTGAGTTCCAACCAAATGTCCTTTGACATCCGGCGAAACGTCTGTCATCCGCGTGTGTATTTGACCGCCATCTTCCACTCCCCATCTTGGATGCAGGGCTCAAAAATGCCCTCATGCCACACGATGTCATTGCCCCACTTGTCCTCACCAGTGCGGGCGTGTTTGCCCCCCAAGAAATAAATTGTGGTCGGATCAGCACAATAGCCGGGAGGAATTGGATCGCCTGGTGCGAGCTTCGACGCCTCGCCTCGCATATCAATGTCATCTTCATCATTGGGACCATATATTCCCATGTTTGGCAAACCGGTGCCCTCCATGGGGGCCACCATCGAGCCAAGAGTCTTCCTCGCTGTTGACGGGGTTAAAGCCGTCACCCGATTTCGCAAGGTCAGCGTAGTCCTTGGACATCAGCCGGTCTTCATTAAGATCGAACTTCAGGATCTCGCATCGAGCGACAAAAGTCTCAAAGGCGCTAATAAGTGCACCGTGATAATGTTTCAGGGTCTCTGTCACCTTTGCTTTCCTGTAGATGTAATTCGCGTCAAGCCGTCCTTGCGGCGCATCGCGGAACATGTATTCCCACACCTTCAGTCTCTTGCGTCCCAACTTGTGGAACATGTCCCTGTTGCTACGATGTTTGCAACGTGGCTTCTCGACATGACAGGCGAATCTCTCATCCTTCACAAGTATATCGATGAACCTTGTCAGATATGCAATGTCCTTGGCCGACTCGTCGCAGGCAAGGACATTATTACCTGCCGGTAATAACTCCCACACAAGACCTGCGTGCGCTCTACCCAACAAAAGCACACCTTCCGCCTCTCCGACAAATGACCCGCACAACGAACGTAACTTTCCAGGCTCTCGCTCCCAGATGGAATATACCGCACTGTCATCGCCCTCTATCCACCGTGTTTACCTTGACACTTCCCGAACTTCTCCTCCACAACGTGCACGGTTGTGAGGTCGTTGTGGAGTCGGGGTTTGACAGTTACTTTTTTCAGATCCCCTCCGTCGGCGTGCAGGACAATGGTCATCATATCTCGACTCGCCGTAGCCACATAGACGTATCGTGTGATGTCGTTCGGTGGCCTGTCCACCCGTTTCCAGGTCCCGGGGATGACTTCGACGTCCTCCCAGCAGAACAAGTGACGCAGAACATCGCTTTGCACCTTCTGCGGCGCAAAGAAGAAAAGGACCCAATTCTGGCCACAACACTTGGTCATCAATGTGTGCAAGGCATCAAATTCGTGAGAGGTCCACGCCGTGCTGAAGTTCGAGGATGGGATGTCCACGATGGCGGCCCTGCATGTCATTTTTTGCACTGCAGCGACGATGTCGTCTGGCGCTGCCAACACTTCCTTCGATGGCATGCACACAGGTAGCAACGTCGTTTGCTTGCCAATCTTGTCCCGGACAATATGACGCGCACTGGAGGCGATCCGTTTCACCTCGACGCGAAGCAAATCGAGCTTATCGATTGCAGTGTATATGAAGACCTTAAGGTGAAACGGAGCCTCCTTATACATTGCCGCCGTAGGCCCCAAGCCCGCGCCTTGCCTTGCCTCCACTCCTCCAAGTCGTCGAGGGACCATCTTCACCTTATTGACATGTAACTTGTCCCGTTCCTTCTCTCATTCAGCAGCGCACAGACCGTTTGGCCCATACCTGTCTTCAAGGTCCTTGTACGACATGAAGAACGCGTCGTTCCATTCGTCGTTCGCCCTTCCCTCGGAGCGGAACAGAACATAATTGAACATACGCACCATGTACCGCTCCTTTTGCATGATGTCGAGGAGGCACTCTGTGTTCACTCTTGGAGGCAAGACCTTGACGTTCGTTGCGACCACCTTCCCCTTCATGAGCAGGAGCAACGCAACTTCCCTCTCATGACATATCAAATCCCCAAAATTTTTGAAGTAGGAAGGACAAAGATCCTTCCACGACACGGTGGAGCCTTTGGGACCATTTATTGCATATATGCAATGGTACAATGTTCTTTGTCCCTTGGTCTCGTCGGTGTACGGGCCTGGCAGGCGGCCTTCCATCCTCCCGGGCATGTCAAGCGGGATTTTGCCATCGCCAACTGACAGCTTTGCTTCGTTGAACATCTTGAAGAACCTCTCGACCAGCGGTCACACTGCGGCACTGGATGTGGCGAGGTTCATGTATCCCCGGAGTTTATTACTCCAATCCTTACTATACTCATTCTCGAGAGCTTGCTTTACAAACGCCTTGTCGCATGCCTTCCCCATGCAGACCCTCAAGAAGTTCTGCCATGTCTTCTGATGTGCAACGGCCACCTAATCCTTCTCGCTGACCTTGGCTTTCGGGGCCTCGATTCTATTGTTGTCTATCCACCATTGCCTGATGTCACGGACAGCGTCCTCGAATGACAACATCATGGAGCGATTTTCGCGTGTGTTGTCGAAGCAGGAGACATTGAAATACCCTCGTGTTTGATCATCTCCGAAATAGACGACCCGCACCTTAGAGTACGAGTTGAGGCCATAAACTTAATTGTCAGGGAGCCCTTTCTGACCAATCTCTTCATGGCCTCAACGGTATGCTGACCACAGACAGCGTACCAGTCGAACTCTGCCGGGTCCCTTTCCAAGAATTCGGTCGGCGTGATCCGTCTTCCCTGGCCGCCGACAATGTCATTGCGGTCAACTGGCGCAAGCACGAGCTCGGGCCTATCCCACGCCCCCGGGTCCGTGCTGATGGAACTTTCGATGGCATTCTCGATGCCTCGCACAATGTTTTCAGACAACGAGCGGTGGTTGAAAAGAATTCTTCCGCGGGGAATGCGTTTGATTCTCATGATGTCCACGTGAAGAGCATGGACGTCTTGCGTAGCAAAGCCTTGGTCATCGTATTCGAGGAAGAAACAACGCGTAGTGTCGATGGGCGCGACACGCTGAACCGGCTCATCAGCATTTTCGGGCATGCGAGGATCCACTCCCTCGCCCTCATCCCCCGAGTCCTGCAGCTCTTGTGGTCTCACCCTCTGGGAGCCTTTCCGCGCCCCTCCACGACCACCGCCCCCACGGCCACCGCCTTGACCCCCAGATCGCCCCCCTTGGCTGTTTTTCCGAGGAGGCCGCGCCTCCTGGGATGCTGTCAAAGCTCCACGAGCCTCATTAACATCGTCATTCGTGGCTTGCCTCTTGTGAGTAGAAGCAGACGGAGAAGTCTCCCTTGTTCTTTTCCTCGCCTTCGGTCCTTGCATTGCATGTGAGCCGTGCCCACCCTTACTCCTGCTTTGCGATAGCGAAATTCCACGGGACGTCGAGGGCTGACCAATAGCTGCTCCCACAGCGCCGACGGGGGAGATGTCATGACCATGCATTGGCGTGTCGGCGTCCTCGTCAGCAAGCCTGCCCCGGTCCTCCATGTTGTCATCCCCAACTTCCACATCTGCTTCATAACCGCCGTCGTCATGCGTTCCGGCACTTCCTCCTTCCTCGTCCTCGTCGTTGTCCTCGTCCAGGGCAATTGCACTGCCCTGGGAATTCTCACTGCCAACATTGCGCTGGTGCAGAAGCCTGTCATCAAACTCCGTTGCCTCGCTTGAACCTTGAGCCAAATCACGACCTCCCTTCACGGAGGGCGAGGGAAGATTCGCGCCCGACGGCCCACCCGGCAACTGCTTTGTCTTCCCTATCGTCGCGGACGGCGTTTGTCGCCTGCTCTTGGAACCCGCCTCGAAGGGCAAAAAAACACAGTTCGCTTGTTGGTCTGGCGGCAGCTTCGAGAAGTCTTCCCTGTACCGCTTAACCACACCTGGCAGTAGGTCCATCAGACTGTTGAATTGGACCAAAGGTTTGCTCATCCGAAAAGAACTGTCGACAACAGGAAGGCAGCCAGTGACGCGGTTGGCGTTTGTTTTGCTGAGAAATTCTTCCGTAGAAAGCATTCGGAATTCAGTTCCGTCCCCACGCACGTCAAACACTTTCATGGAGAAAGCCTTGACGCCGTATCCTTGGAAGAGACGCAGGTCAAGGGAGACCTTCTTGTCTTCCTTGACCCAGTCCGTCCCAGCGCTGTCGAAGACGGACGTGAGGAAGAAGGTCCTGAAAGTCCTTCCTTTGTAGGTCTTCCTGCCCGCCTCGGATTTCTCCTTACCCCCACAACAGTACCAAGTGGCGCCATTGTCATCGCTCAAGAAGATAACAGCCCCACACCCCGGTTTATGCAAACCTCCTACCCAGTCAAGAGCCCACGGTTTGTCGTTGTAAGTCTTAGATCTGCCATACCGTTTATTTTGAGCAGAGGTCGACGCACCAGATTTACCTGCCGGTGGCAAATGCAAAACAAAGACGGGCAGGAGAACAATAATGAGCACCACAGAGAAACACTTGCACGTGGTCCGAGGCACTCAAGAAGGCACGTAACCCGCCATACGCTCGCCATCTTTTCGGCAAGGGGGGTTATCGAGGGTGTCGGGAACGCTGCATACCAAACAACCATGCATGGTCGAGGGGTCCGGCGTTCCCAGTCCGCCGGACCGTTGCCATCCTTTCGAGGCAGGGGGTCGAGGGTTTCCACTCCGATGCCCCCCCCTCCCCACCCAAGAAGGATGGGGGGGGCAGGGCGTTTCGGGAACGCCCGACCCCCGACCAAGCACGGGTGTCGGAGGTCCGGCGTTTCCAATCCGCCGGACCCCCGTGCGGAAAGGGTGGAGGAGGTAGGGCGTTTCGGGAACGCCGGACCCCCGACCGAGCACGGGTGCCAGAGGTCCGGCGTTTCCAATCCGCCGGACCTCCATCCGAGAAGGGTGGAGGAGGTTGGGCGTTTCGGGAACGCCGGACCCCCGACCGAGCACAGCTGTCGGAGGTCCGGCGTTTCCAATCCGTCGGACCTCCATCCGAAAAGGGTGGAGGAGGTAGGGCGTTTCGGGAACGCCGGATCCCCGACCGAGCACGGCTGTCGGAGGTCCGACGTTTCCAATCCGCCGGACCCCCGTACGAAAAGGGTGAAAGGGGCAGGGCGGTTCGGGAACGCCGGACCCCCGACCGTGCACGGGTGTCGGAGGTCCGGCGTTTCCAATCCGCCGAACCCCCGCACGGAAAGGGTAGAGGGGGTAGGGCGGTTTGGGAACGCCGGACCCCTGACCGTGCACGGGTGTCGGAGGTCCGGCGTTTCCAATCCGCCGGACCCCCATGCGGAAAGGGTGGAGGGGGTAGGGCGGTTTGGGAACGCCGGACCCCCGACCGTGCACGGGTGTCGGAGGTCCGG